TTCAACACCACATTAAAAATTTTAAACACACTAAAAAACACCAAGTTGCGCCTTTAATAACCCCCCCCCCCCCCCAAGTACAAGCCCTCCCAGTTATAGGCCCATCTACCTGTAACCAAAAAAAAGGTACCCCATAATAAGCCCCTCCGGATATGAGCCCTTGCGGGAACAAGTGGCCGTGCAAGTCCAGAAAAGTGGAAAGATCAAGACCTAGGATGGTTCTCATACCCAAAGGGCGAATATACTGAATTCTCCAATAGTATTCTGTCAAAATTGGACCACTTGTCTCTACAAGGAACGCTTTCGCCGCTGTTTTGTGACTGAAAGAAAGCGCCAGTGGGAAGTTTGCGAGACTTTGAAAGCAATAATCACAAGTTGGCTTTTGCGACTTCCGATAATCCTGCAGCTCCCGGAAGATTCATGGACGAAAATTTTAGCGAGAAGGATGAGACTAATAGCGCTCTACTTCCAACTCGAAGACCATATCCTGACTATAGCAAGCTACCAAATTTTCATTCTCTCTCTTGGACTGAAACCCCCACCTTTGACCGTGAACCAGACGACTTCCAGCCTCGAGCACAGATTAAGCGATTGTTTGAAGGAAGTATATTAGTCAGTGGGGACAGTGAGGCCATTAGAGAGTTTTCAGATAAGTACATTGTCCCCCAAAAGCTTGTGGAAGAGTACGTTGAGCAAATGCGCAAAGAGAAGATGAAAGAGGAGAATAGAAGGGAGCGAATGGAACGGCTGAACCGGGAGTACAATGGCATTGACTGGGTTGGACTGTACAACTCCGACAAGCTGTCGTCCTTGAGGGTGAACAAGCTATCATTACCTTTCCCATCACAAGATCACCTGCAAAGGAAGGAAAGCGGAAAATGTTGCAATAATCAAAAAAGTGCACATTGGCAGCTTGCTGTACAATTCCGGTCTATGGAGCGTCAACAACCTCGGAAGCCTCCGTTAAGAAATATGCAATAACAAGTGACCTCATCATTTTCAGAGATCGAAACTGACTCGCAAAGTGATGCAGTAGATCGAGTTGTCGTTTCAAGCTCGAGTAGCTTAAATGACGAATCCTCACCGCACTCTGATTTTATACCAGAACCGTGTCAGGAAACATTACCTCCGTCAAAATATGGACGAAAGCGGGCACGGTTTGAGAGAGACGATTTTGTTAGTTGGGAGAAGATAACTTTTTGATATAATT